TTATTGACATTCTGTTAATTGTTTTACCTGTTATATTGTCTCTCAATAAAACCAAGGATGAGAACTTCCTTATATTTCTCTCCTAAACCTAATTAGCATACAATTGTGTTAAATATAAAAGGTACACATCCCAATGATTCTGTTTTGATTTAGTCAAGATCAGCAGGACTGATTCTAGAGAACTTAAAATTTTGACACTTTATTTCATGTTCCATTGTATAATTATTCTCTTCCCCTTCCAATATGTGTATTTAAATACTTAAGGCTATTGGCTCCTTATATCTTCTTCCCATTTACTTCAGTATTGCGCACAGTAAGCAAAAAGTGATGTGAATTATGGTGACCTACAGATACTGAGTATCTGACATTGAACTCAACCATTCTAACTTAATTTGAACACACAATTCATTACTTAGTTCATTTTAGAATTGTAATGTTAAAACAAGAATGTTAAATATTCCTCTCTGCATTTATTCACTGTATTCTCTTACAGTAAAAGATCCTAAAAACTATGAATGTCTCATTTTATTAAAAACCCATTATCAATATACTTCATAAATTTTGGAAATGAGTAATTTTCTAGACTAATTTATTGAATAACTTATTACATTTTAAAAAAGGTAATTCTAATGAACACAGAAAAACAGCAATGTGTTTGGAATCTCAATTTGTAAACTTGGTAAAAAGTGCGAACTGAACAAAATTTTTGGAAAAATATGAAAAATGACTATTACATAGAAACTAAGTTTAACATGACCCCTAAAAGGCTCTGATTTCTATTAGAAAAGTGCACTCAATTTAAACAAAAATAAACAAGTGATCCCATTTATACAGGTTTATCATTCTTACATACAAAGCTTTTCCATATTATTCTCATTGCCAAAGAGTTCTTATACTTTAATGTCATTTAGTAAAAGTACTTCAATTAGAAATATACAAAAAGAGCCCAATAGTGTATTATTTGAATGTGATTAATTACAGAAAACATTTTCCCAATGGCACAAAAATTTCTTTAAAATTTTTTTTCTCCAATACTTTAGTTTTCTAGCAGAGTAACATCAGACACAAAAATATGTCCCACAGTTTCTAAAGTATTCACAGAACTGTGTATTTTTGGACTAATTTTGGGGGACTATTTTATACACAAAGCTCTGCCATAATGTGATCTGTCCAACAGTAACAACAGTCAAAGGATCGTATACACAATGTTAGAAGAATCCATATTATAACTAATTTGTAGGGAGTCACATGTAAGAATACAGTTCCTGAGAATTTCATATTCATGCAGATAGGAAAAAACATGATCACAAAATACCAGTATTTCTTTCCCCACAAACAAGGAAGCAAATAATAAAACCATAAGTGCCTATCTGGTAAAATTCAGTGCAAAGACAGAAAGTAACCATTTTCTTGGCTGACTTAGAAATTAAATTTACTTAAATGTCTACCTTAAAATGTCTAAGGTATAGGAAACATCTTCAGGTGGTTCAACACAAGACAAACATTTAATTTGATTCTCCATCAAAAAAGACACATAATATTTTCTAAGTAGAGAGAAAAAAATATTAATACTGAAATTTTTAAAAGTATTTCAAAGAATTGATTAAAAATGTATTACATACACAAAACAATTATTTAACAGTAAGGCTTTTACTAATAATCAGCTGTGCTATAGACACAGTTTCATTCTTCCAACAGGAAGTATTTGTTCCCGAATATCCAAATTTTCATTGGCCTTGCAGAAAGTAGGCATTGATGATGTAAATATAATCTTAAAATAATTTATCTTTTCGTTCAAAAATCTCTGCCATATATTCACTTTACGTACTGCATGTGCGCGCACGCGTGTACACACACACACACACACACACACACACACACACACACACACAATTCTGGAAATTATCCAAGTGTCTAACAATAGGTTTATATCATACATCAGAATACTATACAGTGTTTTTAAAAAAACCAACTAGATCTACATTGTTAACATGAACATATCTTCGAAATAACGAATGAAAAATGAAAGTTGCAGAATACATGTAAGAGCACGAGATCAACTGTGTAAAGCTTAAAAACACACAAAAGACTACATATTATTCATGGATACATACATATGCAGAAAGGTATAAAAGCATGTACAGAAATAATACACAACAACTTCAGAATAGTGGTTACCTATAGGGAAGATAGAGAATGGATAGAATGAGATGGGTACAAAGGGGGCTTTAACCTTATTCACAATGTTCAACATTACAAAAAGATCTGAAACAAATATGGTTATGTTAACACTGTTAAATCTGGTGGTGTTACAGACACTCATTATATTATTCTCTGTATTTTTCGATTTTGAATCTCTTATATTAAAAATGAAAACATTAACAGAATAAAGAAAAGGTTGAATCACTGCTACAATTTCCAAATTAAATAATTTGGTATGCTGAGACACAACACAGGTTTTCTTTTCCCAATCAAGACAATAAATATTAACAGAAAACATTACATGATCGACAATGTACACTTTTGTAAAGTAATTATTATATTAAAATATACAGCAAAGAACAGGATTTAAATGCTTGTATTTCAAAACTCTACCTTTGCTTGAGTCAAAGGATCTAATTTCACACCACAAACAGGCTTTCCTTGCTTTAAAGAGTACCCCTTTGAATTTTCTTGTATGCCATTTCCTTTAAATGAGTAAAAGGCTTAGTGTACAGGGTATAGCAGAAACCTGAATAAATGTAAGTTAAATAAGACTAATGAATACATTGTATTCTAATATAAACTAACAGTGGCTCAATTCAAAGAAAATAAATTATCGCCAGTACAAAAATTTTCACTTTTCACTGTGAAACTTTTAACCTGCAAGGGAAATACATATGGTTTGTAGCTTTACCAAACATGTTTATTCTTGTCAGGAAAGTTTTCCCATCTTTGTCAGATTAATACTTCCTTGATCATAGATGAAGTCTTTCAAATTAAAGATAAACAACTACTTGCCTGTTGTTTCTGATATGCAGTGTTTGGATTTATCTTTGATTCCAAGAGTAGTGATCCTGAAAGATAAAAAATAATATTTATAAGTTTCAATTTATAAGACCCCGAATAAAAAAAAAATGAGTCCACATTAAAGAAAAAAGTTTTTGTTTTCACTCAGCTATACATCTTAAGTAATCAAACGTTTTGCAATTCACATTTTTCTCTCCAGATCAGGGGTTCACATTTAATTTAGAACATATCCTATCCTCACAAAACCTTAAAGGAAAAAAAATATCCATCTAAAATCAACATTCAGACCAAGAATACAAGGAGGTTAGATGGCCATTAAAGTTTTATTGAAATGAAAATTTTAAGGTCTAAATGACCACTTGAAGCCGAAGTCTTTTTAACAAAGTTATTTTATTGCATTTCCAGTTCAACAAATAAAACAAATTACAAAGGACCACAAAGAGATCTAAGTACACAAGTTACAGAAATGAATTTATTCTTTTCTCCTTAAGAAACAAAAGGAAGGAAACCTCATGTAGAAATAGATGTCCATAACTATTTACAATAAGAGAAAGTGCAAGAGTACACAACACGTCAAGAATAAATCTAAGATGGTTATTTTTCTATTAGCTGCACCTAATTGTTCAAATTTCGATTCAGATTACGAGAAAGGTGTTTAAATTAGGTTTACAATCTGCTTTGGTGTCCTAACTTGTTTAGGTTCTAAAGTATCCACAGCACCGGTACAAAGGCAGCCTGGAGGGATCTCAGGCTGAAGATATATGTGCTTGTGCGTGCATGTATCGTGGCAACAGTCTGTAATAACCCCAGGCTTTAAAAGGTGCCTGTTGGTTTTCCCCAGCACCTGTCGACTGTGGCAACTGGGGCTCGTTGGTAAAATCGGTTAAAAAAAAAAAAAAGACGCTCGGAAAGAAAAGTTTCAACAAACCTTCCGCACCAGACATATAATGGGTAAAAGACGAAATAAGAAGGGGGAGGGTCGGGCTCCCTAGGACGAGTCGAGATCACTTGTCTCATGACTTTCTCCCTTCTCTCACACCCTCCTTTCTTCAAAAGAGAAGAGACTGGGGAGGAAGGGGTCAAATCCTTAACAGGGATAGGAGGCGGGGGAACAGAGAATCCGCGTCTGACTGAGGGTAAATCCGGACAAAGTAGTTTGTTTTTACGGTACGGAGGTGCACGCACAAAAACCAATGCGCTGTCCCAAGAGGTGGTAGTAACAGTACCTGACCTACGGCCTACACCCCACGGCTGTGCCCAAACTGGAGGCACGGTCCCCTAGCCTACCGTTCCAATAACCTTACCGTCGGACTCAGCCCGAACCAGCAGCGACATCCCCTTGAGCTCCTCCACGTAAGTGGAAGAGACGTGCCCGGTGCCTCGGTCGTCCCACTGCCGGTCTTCATTCAGGGTATAGACCTTCACTCGCCGCCGCGTATCCGACATCGTGGCTGCTGTCCCCACCGCTCTAGCCGCCGCCTCCTGGTTTACCTCGTCCGCACCCCTCACTCTTGAGAGGCGGCGGCGGCAGCTCCGAAGAGGCCCGAGTTGACCATGGCTCCCAAGGTTCAGCCGCGGGAAGGGTCAACAAGAGCCACCGAGACCTCTCCGCGCGGAGTCCCGGTTACCTCTCAGTTCACCCCTCCACACACACACCCACCCTCCCCTCCCTTTGCCCCCCAGAGCTCGCTAGCTCTCGCGCCGCCGCCGCCTCCGAGGTAACTACCACACAACCGCCATCTTGTAACCCGATTCTCTCTGCCTTTCTCTTCCTCCTCCCGCAGGCTCGCACGGGCTGTCCTAGCAGGGGCTACGGCGGCCGACGAGCCCAACGCGCAGCACCTCTGCTCCTGCCTGCGCTTCCCCGGCCCTCACTGCTCGGCGTTCTCGCGAGGCAGGGTGCTGAACTGCGGTGGGCGGGCCTAAGTGCAACTTCCTCTCTTGGCCCCGCCTGCTGGCGCGGGATCTCGGCTGAGTGTGGTTCTCGCGTGCTGCCCGTCCCGGCTGGTGCCGCGAGACCTTCCTGAGTAGGCAGCGAGTGTAGCTGTGGACGCGCCTCTCTGTGCGGTTGCTGACATCAGTAGGCGTGCGGCAGGTCGTGGGACGCAGCTCTGAGGAACAGCGAAGCCAACCTGGGAGGTACGTACCCTTAGACCGGAGTAACCCTGAGCAAAAAAAAAAGGGATTCGCATTCCTTATTGGAAGCTCATTCTATCAGCCTATGGGAGAAAAATAGTTTAGATCTCTTTCTGTGAAGACAGGAGTTTTGTGTATTTTAAGGTGACCCAAAATCCACTAAAACTCGTTGTGGAGTCTCATACATTTAAGTGTCCCCTCAGGAAGTGTTCTACGGATCTCCAGGCGATTATAACGTACAAAAAAGTGTATTGACAGTATTCTATTTCCCGCCAAAGCGTTTCACGGTTAGTGTTTTGGTAGCTGGCAATTGAAAAGCATACTTTCCACTTCATGAAAATACAGTGCCCTTCCTGTGTTTGTAACCTCGACAAGTTTAGGGAACTTGCGGGGAGTTACCTTTCTAACACATCTAAGAGCATTGTATTGATAATTTTGAGTTTTCTCCTGTTTGCATTTCTTGCGTTATCTATAGGGAGGCCTTCTGCCATGAATAAGCAAAGGAAGAATTCTCTGGGCATTCACGTTGTCAAACATCACATTGTCAAACATTGCGCGGAGGATACAACTCATGCACTGGGCAGTCGATTATTTTAATCCCCGTTCGTTAAGACAGTCTGTTTGTTCAGCCGCCAGTTCTTTACAACACATTAGCTTGAAAGGTGAAAACCAGGTGACAAGCCCACGTTGATTCTGCAGGGCATCTTGGGAATTGTAGTCATTAATCTGTGGTTTTGTCAAAACGTGCTTTTGTTTTGATTAGCTCTGTGTGGACACCCTTCAGCGGTACACTAAAACGTGAGCCAGTGTCTTACACAGAGCAGGCGCCTGATAAAAAAAATAAAAAACAGTATTGCACTACGGCAATGTTTTTCCCAGAAAAGTTTTTTTTTCTTCAGGCATTCATCAAAATTCCACTCCAAGGATTCAGGATTTCAGAACCCGCAGGATGAAGTGTGTGTTTGTTACTGTGGGGACCACCAGCTTTGACGACCTCATTGAGTGTGTGTCGGCGCATGACAGTCTGAAAATCTTCAAGAGCCTTGGTTACAACCAACTCGTCCTACAAATAGGAAGAGGAAAGGTGGTACCTGAACCATTCAGTACTGAGTCCTTTACTCTGGATGTTTACAGGTACAAGGATTCATTGAGAGAAGACCTTGAGAAAGCAGATCTTGTTATTAGTCACGCAGGTGCAGGAAGCTGTTTGGAGACTCTGGAAAAAAGAAAGCCACTTGTAGTGGTTATAAATGAAAAGTTGATGAACAATCATCAGCTGGAATTGGCAAAGCAGCTACACAAAGATGGGCATCTCTTCTACTGTACCTGCAGCACGCTTCCTGGGCTGTTACAGTCAATGGACTTATCAACACTGAAATGTTTTCCTCCTGGCCAGCCGGAAAAATTTTCTGCATTTTTGGATAAAGTTGTTGGATTACAAAAATAAACACTAAACTCTCAACGCTTTAATCCACCCCACCCCCATCCAACCTATGGAATGTGGTTAAATTAAATACATAATATATATTTGCAGAATAATATAAATTAATAAACTTCCTATATTTATAAGAATCTTAGAAATTTTTATGGTGTGAATATTAGCATTTGGGTGCATATCATAACTGCAATTTAGTAAATTTATTAGGTTTTTCCCCCTAATCTTTATACTTTAGTAAAATATATGTAGTGAGCATTCACAGGTTGTACTCTAGAATCCCAGATGGAATTGGAATCATGAAAAAAATGAATTAAATTTTAAAACGTTGAAAAGAATCTCAAATGTCGTTTGATGTTTCTTAGAATAAGAAAAAGAAATCGTAACAAACTTGTGAAAAAATTTTGAGAGTTAATACCTTTAGCTTCATAATACAAGGAACCAAATTTTTAAAGAAGCAAAAATGATGGATTATGTTCTTTGAAATAGAAAGTTCAATAATTACCTAAAAAAAGATTAATAACATTAACTGTTATACTTGGAGAAACAATAGAGGGGAGTGGATGTGTTCACTTTTTTCCCTCTGAAATAAAAATAGACAGTGACAAAATAATCTTGCCTAATGTCAAAGCTTCACTGGTTTGAGAAGAGTAAACCAAAAGGACTTAAGCCAATAGGACTTGCTGTTATTTTCTAAGAATCTCTCACTGGTATTGAATGTATTGAATCATTTACTGTAACACAGGAATTTATAATTTATGTATTTATAAAATTAGTTTTACAAATAAATGATCTGATATGTGTAATGTGCAAAAAAAAATTTCCACTCCGAAAAAAAAAATATATATATATTTACATATTTCCATCTACCACCCTTTTTTAAAACAAATAATGGAATAATATACATACTGTTGTACTAATGAACCCTAGTCTATTTAAACCATCTCCTATTTATGTATATGTACCATTTCTAATAGTTTGCAATTTCAAACAATAAATGATTATACAGAAGATATTTCATGTGTGCCAATATATTTGTAGATTGAATTACTAGAGCAGGTTTTTAAAACTGTGGCACCATTGCCATGGTTTTATCCAGCCACTTTTGGCTGGATAATTCTTTGTTGTGAGGCTATCCTGTGCATTACAGGAAATTTAGCAGCATCCCTGGCATCTACCCATAAGATGCCGGTAGTATTGTACCCCCTCCTCCAGTTGTGAATACCAAAATTATCTCCCATCATTGCCAAATGTCCCTTGAGGACTCATTACACTTTTTAAAAATTCTTGAAGATTAAAAAATATATATTATTAATCTCTGTAGGGTAAACTGGGTTCTCAGTTATATTGACTTGTGTCCTTGAAATGTGAGACTTTCTAGTCACCCTTCCCAATCCTGTTACGTGTTTTTATGAAAGAAATTTTATAAGTTTTTGCTATATTTACTCATTTTTCCTTAACATGAATTATCTTTAAGCCTTCCCCATTTAAACCATCACAACCGATGACCTATATCCTGTCTGCAGCTACAGTCCTAGTTCTTTTCCGCTTTACAGCCAATTCAAGGGTTGAAATTGTTTAAATTTTTTTTCTTCACATGCCACTCAATTGAACCTATTCTGGTTTCCATCAGCCCCAGCCCTCACCAACAAAGCTCTTGATAAATTCACTAAAGACATCTATGTTGATAAAGCCAGTGGACATTTATTAACTCACTTTACTTGATCTAAGTTAAAATGAACACTTTGACCACTTCCTTCTAGAAACACTTTATTCGTTTTCTTAACATATATATACTCTTGCCTTGCATAGCTCTTTATTATTGCTTCTTTGTGTTGCTGTTGCATCCTCTATCCAACTATTAAATACCAGAAGTTCCTCAAAGGCTTAGTCCTAGATTCTCTTCTTTCACTCTAGACTCTCACTTAAGTGTTTTCAACTACATCCCTTGCTTCAGTTATCACTTATACATAGGTGATTCATGAATTTATGTTCCAGTCAAGATCTCCCTTCAGAGCTCCAGGCTACTACTCGTATATCCAAATGCCTACAGGACACCTGAAATGGCTCAAAGGTATCTCAAGTTCAGCATGCCCCAAACTGAACTCAGTCTTTTCCTCTTCCTTTGTGTTTCTCTTCCATGTTCTCTATTTCAGTGAATAGAAAGTTATTCAAGTCAGCAACCTGGGAATCATCCTCTACTCTTTGTTGTTTTGTTTTAAACGTATTTATTGAGAACTTGACATAAGCTAGGCGTTACTTTAAGTGCTCTTTATATGTTGATTTTTTTTTAAAACACAAACACCCATATCTAATTATCACCAAGTTCTGTTGATCCATATAATTCCCTTCATTTCCAATAGCACCATCTTCTTCCTAGTTACCATGCTCTCTGCTCCTACCATGGCATGCCTATAGGGGAGCACATCAAGAGTGTTTACGTATCCCCAGTTGCACTGTGATTAGACTAACTTAGGTCACATGCCCACCCCTGAACCTCGTTTTCTCATCTAGGGGATGTTAAGCATTGATTGGCTGAGGCAACAGGGCCCATCTTTGGAGGTGGCGCTGGGGTTCATCCCACCCAAATTCCATGGATGTTACACTATGTGATATGGAAAAATGGATGTTAGGAAGACAACCAGAGTATTCCTATTACAGACACTTACAGCACCACACACCCCTCCATTGTAGCATTTGTCATACTCGTAGCTTTATATTTATTTGAATGATTTCTGATTGTCTCCATATCTAGATGAAAAACTTCCATGAATCCAGGGAACTATGTTTTTTTCTAACCATTGTATCTCCAATGCCTAGCATAGGGTGTGGAATATAACAAGTGCTCAATAACTATTGAAAACTGAAGTTTCCTTTAGAAGTTTACTACTCAATTTGACATTCCCTTAGCTGGTAATTTAATAACTACCCTATCAGCTCAACTGAGATTAAATTACATAATTTAGGTTGTAACTTCCTCTGCTCTGCTAAATCCACTACTGCCCTTCCATCTGCTTGTCATGTAACTGACATTTGTTAAAATCTTGCCTACTATTGTCTTTTGTTTGCTGTTTGAACTCTATACTTTTAAAAAATTAATTTTCAAAGAGATGGGTTAATTTTCCATGTTTAACCAAGGTATTCTAACATGTTTTCATAGTTTTTAAATGGTTAGTTGTCTGATCCACTTGGGATTTTCTCTATACAAGTAGGATGCTAATTTAAATTTCTTCCTCTAAATGGGGAGTCAATTGTCAACACCATTTATAGATGAAATCATTTGAAGTGCTATTTTAAACTATTTTTTACTACATTCACACACGTCTGGATTGAGTATGAATTTGCTTCTCTGTTTTCTTGTTTTATTTGGTCAACTCTAGTATGACAGTTTCAGTTGCTATAGTTTTATAGTTTGTTTTGCTATTTGGTTGGAGTAGAGGCCTTATGAATGCACCACTCAGGTCTCCTTCAAGAGAATCTACTTTGAGGAACATAGTTGGCTGAGTCAGCTGCCATCTCCTTTGGATCCACCATTGCTTTTGTACTGAAGCCATAAATACCTGGAGCTGCTCCCAGCCAGGGACTGTGCACAGCAGGAATACTAACTTTGTCCTATTGTGCCAGAACTCCTCTAACGGACAACTTTGGCTTGGGGAACTTATCAGCCTAGATGAGATTTTCTTAGAACTATACTGCAGTCTGAGGCTCGTTCCACCCCATATTTTCTTCCCTCCCTCCTTTTACAGAGGTCAAACTTGCACTGTGGTCTGCAGGCTTTCCCTGCTGATTCCTGAGCCTGCCTATTTTATCTTTCACAGACATTTTGCCCAATTAATACCGTACCCATCTAATCTCTTCTTGGCATCAGTTTCTCTGAGGACGAAAATTGACATAGGTGGTATAGGGAGTGGTGCAATAAATCAGGCAGTAAAATGGGGTTTGGGCGACAGTTTACTAAGTCTGCAGCATACAGTGGCCACTTGACCACTGATTTCACCAGTAGTGAACTAGGAAAACATCCCAGATGTTGTTGCCTATACAGTGAAGGATACCGGGGAAACAATGCCTACAAGAATTGCAGAGCTGGCTGAATAAGTTGTACTACTGCCTTGCAGAAGGATAATGAGAAGTTGAGGGCTTGTAACACAGTTAAAACCTAAATGGAGGAGAACAAAAACTTCTGCAGATAACCATCTAAAAAACACTAAATTGATACAAAACAATTAGTTGCCAACAGGAATGCCAAAATAAATAGTTGTCTTCTCCAGGAGTCAAAAGCTGCTGTGAGCTCATTTCCACTTCTCTCACTTTTTTCCAGGCTTCAAAGAGCAACCCAGCAATGGTTTTCCCAATCCCTTGGGGTCCTGGCCAGGGTTAAATCATCTGTCTCATAGGTATCCAGGTCAGTGAGATCTTGATTATCCAGTCTTAATCTCCAGCCCCCTTGATCAAGCAACCCAAAAATATCCAATCCCAAGTGTACTCCTCTGGCTCCTACTACTACATGCTAGTTTATTATTTAAATTCCTTTGGTAATCTGTTGTGTGGGAAGAAGCACAAATGAGAAGTTATGCGACTTCACAGGCAGGTAGAGAGGGGTACCTACCTTAGTTCATGATGATTTGACAGTCCTGGTTCCAGTCTACTACTGCGAGTGTTACTTGAAATAAATTCATGGCCCTGTGAAAAATTTCCCCCTTTGCTTTAGCTTAACTTAGGTTGGTTTCTATTCCTTAATACCCAGTTACAGTTTCTCTTTTCCATTTTTACTGCCTACCACCCTAGTCTCAACTCTTATGAGCCTGGAATTTTGTATAAGCCTGTTAAACTTCCATATAATCTAGGTATATACCTTCTCCTTCCAGGTAACTATATTCCTGCCTGATTAAATGCTTTGAAAATATCACCTTGCACTGGCCATCTCCTCTTGTCTCATATTTTTTAATAAAATTTGCTTTCTAATTCTGGTGAAGAATATGCACATGATTTAGGAGTAAAACACTATGTGAAATTGGTTTATAAAATGAAAAGGCTGTTCTACATTCTAAACTTTTAATACCAACTGAAAATGAAGTTGTTAGTCCCTTTATCTGGAACTCTTTCTCAATAGCTGCACATCTTCCACTTTATTTAGGTCTGTGCTCAAATGTTACCTACTCAGGCCATTCTGGGTTATTTTATCTAAAATAGTACTTCTTTATCACTTTATCCCCTTATCTATCCAGTTGTTTTTCTTTAAAGAACCTATTAGAAATGGGAGCAACTATGGGAGAGGTCTTTCTTCAAAGGGGGGCAATTTTACCTCTTACTAGGAGGTATGAACCACTTGTGCAAGCCCTGAGTGTCAGGAGTGTCTACAGAGCCCAAATCCTCGGGCTCCCATTCCATGATTCAAAGCTTCAGGCTTTCCCAACCGAGGCCCTAATAACTGCATAGCCAACTCTCTAAGCTGAGCATTCAAATATCTTCAGAGCTCTGAACTGTCAAATCCCAAGTCTGTTTTTCCACTGTTGGAAATAATGGCCTCTCTGTGAAGTTCCTATTGTTGCCTGACATTTTGTATACTTGTTTACTGTCAGTTTCCATTCACTAAAATGTGAGCATTGTAACTTATGTTCTGTTTACTGATGCATCCCCTGCACATATTATATAGTGCCTGGCTCATAAGTGCTGAATAAATGAATGCTATGATTGGCTGAATTGAACTAAGAAAGATACTGATATTCATTCTACTATCTTAGCTCCAGAAATTCAAGATATTCTATAAGGGAAGGAAAAATGATTGTATAAAAACTGGAATTTATGAGCAGGGAGTTTCAAAAACAAAGAATCTGAAGGAAAAAGTCTTATAAGTACCCAAATTGCACTACCTACCAAAGATGGGCACTCCATTTGATTTGAGTCACTATAAATTAGGGTTTTTAGAAAGTAGTAGCCCTCATAGAAAAACTTTACTAATAAGTAGGGAAAACTACCAAGATTTGAGGGAAGACATAAAGAAGAAAAGTTCAGATATTAAACATAGGCTCTTTGTTAAAGTGGAAATAGGACCTTTTGATGGTCTGTGATAAGTCTGCTAAACAATATTGCTTTGTGGTTCTATTGGTCTCTAGAGTTTAAGAAGTAGCTTCATTTTCCCATATTATTACCTCTTGGGAGTCCCTTTGAAAAAGAAAACTTAAGAAAAACATAAATTATAATTTTGAAATTCTATCATTAAGAATTATTGTCTTCAACAAGGCAAAGAGGGCCAGCCGAGTGGCTCGTTGTTTAAGAGTTGGCTTGTGAGCCCGAGCTCTGAGCAGCAGGGCTGCCGGTTTGGATCCCACGTGGGCCAGTAACACTGTGCCCTCTACAGCTAAGATGGTGAACAACAGCTTGACCTGGAGCTGGGCTGCCCGTGAGTTGCTGGCGAGGGCGTAGGCTGCTGTGAGTGGCTGGCAGTCAGCATGAACAGCTGACAGCTGTCATGAGCTGCCGTGAGCAGTCGTCCAATGGCTGGCAACCGATCCACCTCAGCCAGGAAGAGCGCAATGATCACAATACCAACATAGGCCAGTGAAGCGGCATCCTCCACAACTAGACTGAAGAAAAAAAGGACAGCAACTTGTCTTTTCCCCTTCCCTGATTCCCCAATGCTGTTCCCCCCCGCCCCCCAATTCCTCAATAAAATCTTTAAAAAAAAAAAGGCAAAGAGCGTAAAAAATTGTCACTATTGTAAAATGGAACAATCAAATGTACAAAGCATAGTTTAAATTTAATCTTTCATTTTTCAATTAATCTTCAATATTTCAGAAATTATATCAACATTGCCTAACATGTTATTTTACAAACTGTATATATGTATAATCAATGTTTACTGGTTTAAATACCTACATTTAAAAAATCTTTGGCCAGTTATATTTTTAAAATTTTATGAACTAGTTATGCCTGAGTCCTGAATTTACAAATATTTTTTATCAGATTTATAAAAGTACTGCATATTTCAAGTTATGACTTCCATGAACCATTTACTTTGTAGAATAATAATATGGTAAATGATGGGAATGAACATCTTACAGCTATTACTAATAATTATATCAACAGCTTCTATATGACTGTTTAAAATAACATTTAACTGAAAATCATGATTCTTCCATCCCTTATACCAAGAATATCTATACATACATAATCAAAATATGACTATTTTGTTGAGTAATTTTCCAATATATACTAAATATTTTCTAAATTTGAAAAAAAAATGCTACCTAGTTCTAGTTAGGATCTTATTATATTCACTTCACTATGTTATGGTTTTGTGACCAATTTGAAAGGCAGTATATCATTAAAAACAGATCAAATTAGCTCCCTCAACTCCTTGCTATAGCTGGTAATTGTACTAAAGAAATAGGCACTGGCTTTGACTATGGCAAGTTCCAGACTAAAATCATTGTAGATGAGTAAAGTTGGGCAGAGGTGAGCCATAAGAGGACTAAGAGTATATATGTAGGAAGTGATCCATTAAAGTAGCAAATATGATCTATTATTTCTAAATTTATCAGATATTTCAGAACTATGGGAAAAAAGGGTAATAATCTTTCCTAAGATATATAAATGGTTTAATATATATTTGATTTATAATGTAAATAAGAATGAGAGAATATAGGTACTCTTGAAATTAAAAACTGACACACGTAAAATGAGCATTTTATATTTATAGTATATATAAATCTATACATTAGAAGATATTACTGAAATTTTGCTCCATAGATATCATTCTAGAATTCTCTTTAAAAAATATATATATATATCACCGGGAAGAATTAGATGATGACTGTGAAACAGATTCTCCCATTATAATACTGCTTCTGTCATTCAGAGTTTTGACAACAGTTGTAGCTGGAGACTGGAGCACTTTGCGAGAAAGCCTCATTCTTCCATCAGCTGGATCACGTCCAAAGTATTTCACCTATTTTAAAAAAACAAATTTACAGTTATCGTACATTGAATGACATCCAAATTAAAAGATATTTACATTTACATGGTCCAAATAAGGCAGATTAATGTTTTTACTTGTTCATGAAAGCATAGCTCAATGCTAAGTGAAGGTATATGCTAATAAATATAATTTGGTTAAGCAGATTATAAAAAAGGAAAAGAGATAGGGGCATTTAGTTGCCTAATTACAATCTTCTGTTAGACTCATCTGTGCCTTCTTATTCTCTCCAGGCCAAGTCCCTATACCAGAAGAACAGTCAAAGCCATGGTGAATGATTCTAGACAAGGCTTTTCTGAGCCTAACTGTGCTACAAACTACAGGATTATGCGTAGGTCACTCAGGCTATACAGCTCAAAGGACTATCACACTGGAGGTTATTTGGCTTCACCTGAGACAGAGAAAGTCAGGGGGAAATGTAACAGTTCTTAAGTCTCTTCTGATGTAAAAAAAAAAAAAAGTCTTATACAGAGATATTATGTCTTAGTTCTCATCTTTCCCTAGAGGCTACTTGAACAATGGGACTACAGTTTGGGAATAAACTAGAAGCCTTAGTTACTCAGGTCATGGGTATTAAGCATAACTGGAACAGAATGTGGTGCAGCCAAAAAAACCCAGGCCAGCAGTAAGTTCTTTTATCCACCCATAGGGGACTATAAAAAAGGTCAAATTTGTTATCAGAATTCTAGAACTAAACAACACAGCTTTCATCAAACTCAAAAAACTTAAGCCTCAAGCAGTGTAGAAGCAATTAAAGTCTCAATTCCTCAAATATGACATTCAAGGCCTTCAATAGTTAAATTTATCAGGGTTCTCATGTACTGTTTCCAAATCACTGACTCTGCATAGCCATCACTGACCTGCTCAAGTATTTCTAAAAACTCTAAAGGATCGGATTACTGTTCTAACCGTAAACTCCTTGAGGAAAAGAATTGTTTCTTAAATCCTTAATGAGTCTGTTTAAGCAACCCTAAGGTTACAAAAGAAGCATACCATATAAATAATACAACTCATAGATGCTGATTCGATTCTTTCAGCTTACTTTTTGAAACAAATAATTGAAACTTCATGTACAATTTACAGCTCGAAGGCTAAAAGCTTGAATACAAGTACCTGAATTTCTTGGCCAACTTCTAATCCTAGGGCAGTAGGATGTTTAATCTGAAAGAACATGTTAACTTATTAGTTGTCATGCATAATTAATATCTATGGTAGTATACATTTTTTTACAAGTGAAAAATAACTATTGGTTTTTCTGATTATAAAATCTTAATTATAAAGATTAAAAATAATACAGAAGTATTCAGATGATAGTAAAAATCATTCAAAACCCTTTACTTGTAGATAAACTTGCTAACACTAATGAGTATCTCTTCAATTGTCTCCCTATTTAATGTGTGTGTACTGAATTTGTAAAACTGGACCTTACTGAGCTTGTTTCATCCAATAATATGTTGAAGATATTTTTTCATATCATTAAATAAAACATTACAGTTGAGCATTCAAATGACATAATTTGTATAACCAATCCTCTAAAAATGGTCATTTAATTTGTTTTAAATTCTAGTGTTGCAAATGTTAATAATTGGCAAATATAGGTGAAAGGTATATGGGTACTTTCCAAAATAAAAAGTTGAGGAAAAATAAATTGCAGTGTTGCAATGACTATGTATTCATCTACTTTAACTATCCTCTACACTTGGAACTCATAGGTCTAAAGGTACTCATATACATTTACCAAATACTTTTCCAAAAAGTTTGTCACAATTTACATTCCTATCAACAGTATTTGAGAAGTCCATTTATTCTCCACATTTGTACCACACTGGGAATTTTCAACTATCTGAAAGTTGAAAAATGGTAGCTTGGTTTTATTTGCATTTTAAAAAATTGCTGTAGGTATTGAATATCTTGGTAGGCTTAATTAAAAAAAAATGGTTTATTCATGTTTTTCGCTCGTTTTCCTATTGATATTCATCCTTATTGATTTATTCAAGCTCTTTGTATATGAAGCCTTTGCCACATGTTAAAAGCATTTTTTCCCTAACTTGCTGTTTGTCTTTGAACTTTATTGTAATTTTGCCATATAATTTTAAAAATTATGTGTTCAAATTTTATCTATTTACATTTTTGGCTTTGATATCATGCTGAGAAATATTTACCAAGTCCCAAGATTATTAAAGTACATATTTTCTTCTAAAGTCCTCCCTCAGCATGCCCCATGCCCACATTTTATTTTTCTTCTTTCACCACCTTAAATTCTTTTTTTTTTTAACATTTAGCTCATTGATCAAGATAAGAGTTTGATATAAAAAGAGTAGAAATCCTGCTTTATGATAATAATCAGCTGTACCAATATGATTTATTGAGTAATCTTTGATTCTTCACTCACTAAAAATACAATATTTAGCGTGTATGATAGTCACATGTATATAACTGGGTTTATTTTTTGTCTTTTTTTTTTTGTTGCATGGATTGTCTATTTCTGGGCCAGTAATACTGTTTTATTCTCTTTAGTTTTATATTTTAATATATGGTAAAACAGACATTAGTATTATTCTTCTGTACCCCATAGTTTTCATAATCTGTCAAATGTATAAACTGTAACAAAGATTAAATAAATTGAAAAACAACCTGAAAATTATCTTGCCATGACTGGTTTGGTCAAGAAAAGTGGGCTGTTTTACAGCTAGGTATTTTTAGTAACTGCTATGTGTTAAGATGTTATTCTACCTCAAAACATTCAAGAGTGTTTCTATTCCATCATGGAAGGAGAAACACAAATATTTGTGTTAAACAAAGTAAAACTTTTGTCAGCAGCACCTCTGTCATTTTTGGTTTTCTGTATTAGGCCAGTATTCTATTCTCATCAACCTAGGAAATTTCACTATGGTTCTTTCAAGGCAGTTTTAAAAATAGTCATGGGCCAGCCGAGTGGCGTGTTGGTTAAGAGCTGGCTTGGTATGCCAGCTCTGAGCAGCAGGGCCCCGGTTTGGATCCCACATGAGGGCCAGTGACATTGCCCTCTACAGCTAAGATAGTGAAAAACAGCTCGACCTGGAGCTGGGCTGCCACGAGTTGCCGGCGATGGCGTAGGCTGCAGCCCCTGCTGCAGTGGGCTGCCATAAGCTACCATGTATGGCTGGCAGCCAGCGTGAGTGGCCGGCAGCCAGTGTGAGCTGCAAGAACCGCTGTGAGTGGCCATTTAGAGGTTGGTGACTGATCTGCCTCACCCAGGAAGAGCGCAATGATAATACCAACATGGGCCAGTGAAGCAACATCCTCCACAACTAGACTGAAGAACAAAAGGACAGCAATTTGTCTGTTCCCCTTCCCTGATTCCCCAGTGCTGTTCCCTTCCCCCAATTCCCCAATAAAAATCTTAAAAAAAAAAAAGTCATATCAGTCTTTTTATTTTTACCTTTCGTTGATCAAGTTGTGAGTTATGAAGTAGTACTGCAGTCATATTGGGATATAGTTTAACCATTACTCCAGAGTCTCTATAAAAAGGAAATAAACCTGGTTAAAACATTAAGTATCTGTGTATCTGCTGATAATCAAATGGTGATTATGTTTTCATAGAACTAAGTAAAAAAAAAAAAACAATCCCTCCAGTACATGTTTTTATAATATAAAAAGTAGGATTACCTAAAAGGGATACTTATTTTTTTTCAATTAAAAATAAACACCATATAGTCAGCCCTCGACACAAGGGTTTGTCTTCCTCGCGTGTGAAAAAAAAAGTAAAAAAAAATATATATATATATACACCATATATTTAAATACTTCTGAAGCAAACAACAGAGAAAAGAGAAAAATGTGCAGTAAAAGCTTTTAGAATATATATTCTTCTGTATTTCTTTTTATAGTATTTTCCAAATAATTTTGAAATGACATTAAATAGTTTAAAATAGTTCAGTATTTTCATTAACCTATTACATAATGAGTGATGGAATGGGGTTAGATAAACTGGGATACTTATTTCATTAACAAATTTCATTATTTTCTCTAATCTAAAATAAACCATTCATTTCTTAGTTTTCACCTGTGATATTAAATTGTCCCATTGCCTTTTATTATTCATTTCAAATTGCTTTGAACATTCATACTATATCTGATAATTTATTCTTTCTTAAAAAGGGGATGTTTCTGATCCTGAAAATCTAATCTTTTTATCTGGTAAAAAAAATACTTTAGGGCCGGCCGAGTGGCTCAGTTGGTTAAGAGCTCGCTCAAGGGTTTGAGCTCTGAGCAACAGCGGTTCGAGTCCAGCCTGAGCTGAGCAGCCGCTGAGCTGCCAACAGGTGGCAGGATAGCTCAGCTAAAAAAAAAAAAAATACTTTGAGGTTGAAACTGGCATTTTAAAAAAATGCACTACTTAAGCATTAAATAAATAGTATTATCTTTAAAAGAAACCCACAAGAAACTACCAAAAAAAGAAAAAGCAAAAAGAAAGAAAAAGGAAATACTGTTGAGTCTATTTTGGTCTGTTAACTGTTTACTGGGAAAATTAAAATGGTGGAACATTTGGTTAAACAATTCAGTTAGAAGAATCTAATAATCATAGATTATAATTATATAATTATAAAAAATCTACACACTGGTTTATACCGTAAAAATAATTAATGATGTCAACTAAAATTAAAAATAAATTTTAAAAAGTAATGATTATATGGTAATTGATGTATAATCTAAACATATGATTTCAAAGTAAATAAAGCAAACATATGAAGTTAACATGGGCTTGTAATATAACTCTTAAAAAACAACAACAGCACATCATATTACTTGATATTACCTGATTTCAGTTATTGTGGCGGTATATACTGCTCCAAATTCTAATTGCTGTTCTTGCTGTAAGTGCAAAATAAGCCATAAGTCATAAAGAAAACAGCAACAAAAAGTAGAAAAAAGTAACTATTATGAGATTATACTTACATCATCTTTGCAGATTTCGGTAATGAAGTCTCTTGCCTCATGCATAGCACTGGGTGTTGGTGCAAATACAGAAAATGTTTCTTCATCCACCTGACTAATGGTTACACCTTTTGAAAATAATTTAACATATTAAAGTTAACTTGCTCATTTCAGTGGAGACTAGTCTTAAAAGTAGATGTAAGAGGAGGAGAGCAAACTGGAAGTAGCTGGGCAGGGCTGTGCTGTGCTTAATCACTGCTTTAGGAACGAAGGGATTCACTCCCTGACAAATACACATTGCACACCTGCTATGTATCCAACATTGTGTTAGCCAATGTCCCCTCTTTCTTGCAGCCCGTAATCTGGTGGGATAAAGCATATACATTCTAATTTTGGAGGGCGTGGTTTTGCTCGCTTAATTGTAACTAGAAACTATATTAGAAGCCTTTCCTCACCTTTTCTTTTTTCTCCCTCTTACCCTCCAGAGTTGCAACACGTGGATAAAGGATGAAATATCAGTTCCTTAATCTTAACTAGCTAAGGGGACTGCTTCTCACTCTCCTTCAATAGCCTCAAAGCTGGTAAGTACTAGGTAACCCAAAGATTGCTTCCATAAAAAACAAATCAAAGCATACTATTTCTATGTATACTCTTTAAATAAGAGTCTAAATAAGACTAAGTGAAAAATAGCAGAAGTAATTGTAAGAGAAAATTAAAGTAAAACTCCTCTAAAGTGAAAAACTAAACATTTTCTAAATGTTTGATTTTAAATTGTTGCAAAAAAAACTGAGGAATTCGAGGTCATCCTTCTTGAATATAGTTAAGGATGATAATTTGCTAATCTATAAATAGGCATACAGAAAACTTACAGTAAAGATATGTCAATGTTATATCCTTTTCTCTTGGTCTTTCTCTTATTTATCAAACATATTTTTGGAGCAATACAAGAGATGAAATGGCAAACTTACATGGCCTAGCATTAAATAAAATACCCCATCTTCATACAACTCTTACCTGTTTCAGCCTGAAGTTTTTTTAAATGATATCCACCTGGTCCAACAAATTTTGCTCGTTTTGATAATGGAACCTGAACAGTTTCTGAAATGTAGTACAGACAACAACATAAATAATTCAAATACATATAGGAATCTAAAACATGTTCTGGTCACTCAAGATTTTTTAAATTTTGGCCTAGAAAGATGTAAAATAAATAGTTCAGTATGAAATAGAAAAAGTATGTTACTTGACGAAAACTACTGAAAGTTCTAATGTCAAGAATAGCCCCCAAATTTAAAGTATTTAGACTCTAAAATTATTTAAAATAGTTTTGTTTTATGTATGGAGTTAAAAAAATTTAAAAATATTAATATACTTTCATATATTAATGTTTATCTTATTAAATCAGTAATAATTTTAATGTATTACCTACAACAGGTCCACTTTCTTTTCTAGATGCTCGAGGTTTTGAAATAGTTTTGTTCATAATCTGTAATATCTCCTTCTTTGCCACTAGAAGAGATTAAAAACATTAACAATTATAATTACATAAAATAAATGTGATCAGATATAGCAGTATTCTTAGTTTTTATGGCATAAAATCCAAACTCTTTAGCTTACTAATCAAAGCTCTTCACACCCCAATTACCTTGACAATTCTACTCCTATTTCCTTCTCTATAAATCCTATCTTAGAGAGTTACTTAATTTGTAAAAATTGAGTTTTCACTGGTCTCCCTCCCACTTTGGTGGTTAGTCATGTGCCTAACAACATAATATTTCTTGATCTAGGTTGTTACATGACACTTCATTCTCTAAAGCACTATTTTTAATAAGCCTATCTTTTATAACAAGCCTAAGGGAAATTATAGTTCCAGTAACAAACTAGACGATGAAAGAAGAATAAGGGACACTAGCTTAGCTTACCTGAGGCTTGTTGAATGGCCTCCATTACAATTTTTAATGGAATCCCAGGTAATTTAATATCAGCCTAATAAGGAAAAGCCAAAAAATTATATAAATATTGATTCATGATACTATTATACATATTGTAAAAGTGAAACAAAATAGGTTTAAAAATACCTGTAATGCAGTTATTCCCTTATTAGTGCCGGCTATTTTGAAATCCATATCACCATTGTAATCTTCAATACCCTTAAGGAATTTAAGAATTTATGATATAGTTTTAAACAAAAACAAAATTCACCCATCGTCATTGTAGAGGAATTTTAAAAAATAGCTTTAGAAGTAACCATGTCCTCTAAGACTACACACAAAGAAATATCTTCTACATTAACAACTACTTCCAATTTGTGACTTTTCAAGTACAAATATTTTACCAGAAAATCACTGTTTTTAGATGTTTTTCTCCCATAAATGCATAAGGATTAATTTATGGTCATCCTGAAGTGAGCCATATTATGGAAAATTACACCGTAATATTTATTTTTAACTCACATCCTATCAAATCCGAGGCAAATATGCAGAGGAAGAAAGAACAAGGACCTATATATCTTGAGTCCTAGCTTAGGATGCTTGTAAAGTGTGTGTGTGTGTGTGTCTGTGTTTATATAAAATCTTCACCACTGAATATTTGAAAATATGAATATACTTGCCAGAATATCTGTCAGCAAACGATAATCTTCTATTTCATCCTTGTCAGGACTGTTTTTGGTGACCAATCCTATTGCTACACCTGCGACAGCAGATGAAATTGGAACCCCTATAATTGAGAAAAAGAACTTGTATATGACGTGTACATCAGCTTAACACACACACACACACACACACATCATTTTGTTGACAGTTATTTTAATGTAAGCAGATGGTGTTCTAAATTGACAATCACCAAAACTAATTTGAAAGGTCTTTTTTTTTAAGGTTTTTATTGGGGAATTGGAACAGCGCTGGAGAACTGGGGGAAGGGGAACAGACAAGTTCTATCCTTTTGCTCTTCAGTCCAGTTATGGAGGACGTTGCTTCACTGGCCCAAGTTGGGACCATCATTGCGCTCTTCCCGGTGAGGCAGATCAGTCGCCGGCTTCTGGATGGCTGCTCACAGCGGCTGCTGGCCGCTCACGCTGGCTGCTGGCTACACATGGTAGCCCCTGGCAACCCACTGCAGCAGGGGCTGCAGCCTACGCCATCGCTGGTGACTCACGGCAGCCCAGCTCCAGGTTGAGCTGTTGTTCGGCATCTTAGCTGTAGAGGGCAGTGTCACTGGCCCTCATATGTGGGATCCAAACCGGGGCCCTCTGGCATCCCAAGCCAGCTCTTAACCAATGCGCCACTCGGCTGGCCCTGAAAGGTCTTAATAATAAGCTGACTACCTCATTTCTTCTTAAACATACGAGGTATGATAAAAAAGTAAGGTGAATGCTGCTGCCGAGTGCCATCCAACAGAAAGGCAGGGATTTGCAATACAGGAAGTGGTGTGTTGAACCTTAGTACAGTGTGTGACAAGTTTCAACTTGTTCAGTGCAGTCAGTTGGGTGTGAGTTACAGTTAAGAGAATGTGTGTTTTAAAGTGTGTCGTGGGCCGGTTGAGTGGCGCGTTGGTTGGGAGTAGGCCTGGGACGCCAGAGGGCCCCCGGTGCGGATCCCACATATGAGGGCCAGTGACACTGCCCTCTACAGCTAAGATGCTGAACAACAGCTCGACATGGAGCTGGGCTGCTGTGGGTCGCCGGTGACGGTGTAGGCTGCAGCCCCTGCTGCAGTGGGTTGCCATGGGCTGCTGTGTGTGGCCGGCAGCCAGCGTGAGCGGCCAGCAACTGCCGTGAGTGGCTGTCCAGAAGCTGGCAACTGATCTGCCTCACCCGGGAAGAGCGCAATGATGGTGCCAACTTGGGTCAGTGGGGCGACGTCCTCCACAACTGGACTGAGGAACAAAAGGACAGCAACTTGTCTGTTCCTCTTCCCCCAATTCCCTAGCACTGTTCCCATACCCCAATTCCCCAATAAAAAATCTTAAAAAAAATAAAATAAAGTGTCATAAATCATGGATCACAAACAACACATTAACATGAAGTTTTGTTTCAAACTACAAAAAGTGCTAAAGAAACAGACAAAATATTAAAATTAGTTTATGGTGATGCTGCAGTGACCATGAAGATCATTTACAAGTGATCTGAGCAATTTTGTAATGGTTATGAATTGACTGAAGATGAGGAGATCGGGGAGTCCTTCCAACATCAAAAACCCAAGAGAATGTTTAAAGAGTAAACGAAATGATTCAATCAAACAGGCAATTGACTTAGGGAAATTTCTGAGGAGATGAACATCTCTTATGGTTCCATTCAAAGCATTTGAACAACAGATTTGAACATGAGGCGAGTGAGTGAGAAATGTGTTCTACGTGTTTTGACTGTCGAACAAAAGGAACAGCATTAGTCAATGTCGTTGGAGTTGCACAATTGTGCCACATCAGATTCCAGATTTTTTTTTACATTGGGGGAGAGGAACAGTGTGGGGGAACGGGGGAAGGAGACCTGCCAAGTTGTTCTTCAATCTTCATTGTGGAGGGCGCCAGGCGCTATCTGGCTGCCCGTCAGCAGCTCTGGCTTCTAAGCTCAAGGTGCTCTGTTCAATCTTAGTTGCAGGTGGGTGTAGCCACCATCCCTTGTGGGAGTCAACCAGCAGCCTTGTTGTTAAGAGCACACATTCTATCCACTGAGCCATCCGGGTGGCAGCTCAGCTCAAGGTGCTGAGTTCAGTCATAGTTGCAGGAGGGCGTAGCCCACCATTGAACAGGCAGTCTTGTTGTTAGGAGCACGTGCTCTCACCAGCTGAGCCATCCTGCCACCTGTTGACAGCTCATCTGGGGTGCAATGTCATTGGCCCATGTGGGAATTGAACCGGTGGCCCTGTTGCTCAGAGCTCGTGCTCTTAAGCTAACTTTTAACCAAGTGAGCCCAGATTCCAGCTTTTTAAGACAAGTCATCACGGGAGATGAAACTTGGGTCTATGGTTATGATCCTGAGACCAAGTTTTAGAGTTCTCAATGGAAATATCACCCAGTTCTCCTCGTGTGAAAAAAGCACTCCATTCAAGATCTAATATTAAGGTGATGTTAATCGTGGTTTTTTTACCTTGATGGAATTGTGTGAGCTGTTTGTACCCAGGAATACTATGGTGAACTCTGAATGTTATAAGGGCTTATTAGAGCGTTTAAGAAACGATGTGCATAGAAACAGCCTGAGAAATGGGCAAATGGTTTCATCCTCTATCATGACATCGCCCCTTGTCACACATTGCTTCTGGTACAGCAATTTCTGTCAAATAAAAACATTAGCGTGTGTCCTCACCCACCTTATTCACTGGATCTGGCACTGTGCAACTCTGGCTCTTCCCCAAAGTCAAAATGACCATGAAAGGTAAACATTTTGAATTGATTAAGGACATCAAGGCAGCCACGACAGTGGAACTAAAGACATTCACGAAAGAGGACTTCCAGAACTGCTTCAGATGGGATAAGAGTATTCGAAGCAAAGGGAAGTATTTTGAGGGGGATTAATGGCAATGTTCTTTTACTGTAATAATTTTGTTTTATTTAAACATTCGCCATATTGTTTGATCACACCTCGTATAATAAAAGCCCCTTAAAACAATTTTAACAGGTAATCACTGTTCGCAGCAAAAACCTCTAACAGCAAATTAAACTCAATCAGTTTCTTTGCCTTTTTTGCTTTTGGTGCCTTCTTCTTTTTCCCCCTCAAAAGTAACTGTGTATTTGATAAATCCTTCCAGCCTGAACCCCTCAGTCCACCTTCCCATGACAGCTACCATTAGGTTTTCTGTGTATCCTCCCAGAAAATTTATGTGTAAGTGTAATCTTTTATTTTCTTTACTCATGGTGCATACTAAATGCATTCACTATTCTGCATCTTGCGTTTTCCACTTAATAACATCTTGGATATTGACAACATAATACCACACAAAGCTCTACTTACTCTTGAATGGCTGCATAGTACTCCTCATATGTTTATAAGCCACACAGTAGAAGTGGGATTACTGAGTCAAACGGTGTGTGGCTTTACATTTGCTATACTGTCAAACTGCCTTCCAAAGAGTGTAGCATTTTATCCTTTTACCAGCAGTATATGAGGGTGCCTGCTATTTTACATTGTTGTTAATTCTTGTCAAATCTTTTGGCCTTTGCCCATCTAAAAGGTAAAAGCGATAGCTTATTGTATTTAATTTGATTTCTGTTTTTGAGTGAGGTTGAACTTTTTTCCCATGTTTGTAAACCATTTGTTTCTTTTTCGGTGAACTGCCTATTCATGGCCTTCAACCATTTTCCTTTTGGGTGTTAGTCTTCTTACTAATTCACAAGGGCTCTTTGAATATGGACAGATCTTTGTTAAATATAAATGTAGAATATTATAGTAAATAAAATATATGAAATATAATTTTCTAGTCTGATGACTATTTTTTGTGATTTTTTTCCTATACAGAATTTTAAAAATTATATGTAATCATGGTTCCTAGATTTTGCTTAGAAAGGTTTTACTTTTTCAAGATTTTGATAAATCTTCCGTTTCATCTTTTAAAAAGTTTAGGGCTGGCTGAGTGGCTCGGTGATTAAGAGTTGGCTTGGGAGTGCGAGCTCTGAGCAGCAGGGCCGCCGGTTCAGATCCCACATGGGCCAGTGATGCTGCACCCTCTACAGCTAAAATGGTGAACAACAGCTTGACCTGGAGCTGGGCTGCTATGAGTCACCGGCGATGGTGTACGCTGCAGTGGGCTGTCATGAGCCAACATGAGTGGCTGGCATTCAGCGTGAGCAGCTGGCAGCTGGCGTGAGCAGCCGTCTAATGGCTGGCAACTGACTGCCTCAACCAGGAAGAGCGCAGTGATCACAATACCAACAAGGGCCAGTGAAGCGACGTCCTCCACAACTAGACTGAAGGACAAAAGGACAGCAACTTGTCTGTTCCCCTCCCCAAGTTCCCCAATAAAATCATAAAAAATGAAAAGTTTAAATTTTGATCACTTGGGTTTATTTGGTATAATGGAGTGTGGTAGGGATCTCATTTCATATTCTCCAAGCATCTCACTTATGCCCATTGTTGTAACTATCACCTATAATGGTGATGGTTTAAAAATCACACACACACATATTTGTTTTTTCCAAAATGTAATCACCCCAATAAATCCTTTTTTTCTTCTGCATTCCCTATCTCGGTTGAAAGCAACTTAGTAGACATTCATGCCAGAAACAACACTTGTTTTCCTCATTTCCTATATCATATCAGATCTTAAAGACCTGATTAGTTTGTCCTCTAAAGTTTTCAGAAAGTTCTCCTTTCCCCTAAATATTGAAATGTCCATTGTTACTCCTTTAGTTCAAGTCAGCATTATTTGTTGCCCTGCCAACAAGTCTACCTGTCTGGTTTCCCAGATTTTAGTCTCTCTTCTCAGCTCCTATTATCTCCTGCTGCATCCCCTAAGGCTATCATCTAAGCTGGGAAAAACTACCTTAAAAAAAAAAAAAAAAAAAAAAAAAAAAAATGACAGCAACTTGTCTGTTCCCCTTCCCCCAGTTCCCCAGCACTGTTCCCATCCCCCCAATTCCCCAATAAAAAAATCTTTAAAAAAAAAAGGCAGATTCAAATCATGCCACTCTTCTACATAAAATTCTCAAATACCCAATTATCTGCTCTCAGGAAATTATACATGTTCTGTGATCAAAAAAGTTTGGGAAATAGTACATATTCTGTTCCTAGAGATTCAAGTCATATTTACATACTGAGGTTTATTTAACCCATATTATATAAAACTGCTTAACCCTGCTCAAATGTACTTTAGACCACAGTAATTTTTTTCATGGTATACAATAATGAACATCTTATGGAACCCTGAGTTGGGAAATATTGGATTTAAATTCAAACTCCTTAACACAACAATGACCTTTAAAATTTGGACTCTGTTACTTCATCACTTCTTTCCAATACATTTCAGAAACACACTAAACTGCTTCATAACTTTGCACATGCTGTTTCTCTCACATGAAATACAGGCCCTGCTTCTAATATGCCTGGTCAACAACTATTCAAACTTTAAAATCAGATGAAATTTAGCTGTGTCTATAAAGTCAATTTATATGCATCCTAGTTCTTTACCCATATTGTACATATTTGTACCTTGTACATACTTTATTTCTTTGATCTGTTGGTATCTTCATGTTGTTTTTGCACCTGTAAAAACTTTTTAAAAATGGGTACCATTTGTATTCCTGGAGCATAGGACAGTGCCTGACATAGGACATGGCAAGAACTCATGTATGAATTGAATTGCATAACCTTTGCTGGCACTTCCCACAGGACTTGAACATTCATTCTTTTCGAATTTAATTTTTTTATATTTGGCTGAATATTTTTTTAAATTCTGTTAAAGTTTTTTTCAGAGACCAAAAATACTTATCAATCATCTACTCATTTTATCAATATCGTTTTTATTGGCAGGTCTGTGTTCTCAGTCAACTCAATAACAAAAACTTGAAAAGGACAGGATTTAGGATGAACTATCCTGAAATATTCTACTTGAGACCCCTCTGCTACCTACTGATCAGGCTAACTAGTCCCCTTTGTTTATCCTGCAACTAGTTATGAAAGGTGCACCTATCATCCCGTCTCAATTTCCGCATCATTTACACAAAGACCATAAATTGCCAAGCCTGAACTCTAGATACACTGCATAAACAGTACCCTCCCTCCTCTCTATAAACCTAGAAATATTTATGAAAACAAAAAATTACTTTACTCATTTCAAGCGAGTCCCTGTGGTTTCTTCTCTCCACAGCCCTCTTCTCTTATAAAATATTTATAAACCATGCTTTTTAGTCACTTTCAGATTCCCTGGGTTATGTTTTACAGAAAATACCTTTCTTACCTTTCAGAAACTTTTCGTGTCCTTGGTATTATTAACTAGTCTCTGTGATTTCTCAGATATTTCAGTTATCTCATCCTGAAGTTCTCGCCATTACTGAGGATAGGTTTTTGTCTAGAGTAAAAGATCTGAACTTATTTAAAACACCTAAAGACTCTCCTATGATTTCCTTTCAGCTGATCTTTTTTAGGATCTGTTCTGTGTGTTTTCCAATCTGAGATTGGAAGACTGATAAATGCAAATTTCATTAGCACAGGGACTTTGTGTCCCAAGAGCTTATTAGATCAGTGCTTGGCACAGAGTGGCATACAGTAGATTTGTTGAATGAATGCATGAAGGTAAAAACAGGAATCGTATTTTACTAGTTACCTTAAATATCAGATTATGTTTCCCTTCCACTGAACACAACTAGAGAAGTACCTTTAATTTTCTTTAGTTTTGTTTTGTTTTTGCTTTGGCTAAAGTTTTAATCTTCCTAGGTGATATTATAGTATATTCACATCGTTCTTTCATTTCGTCCTGAGTTATGTTGTCCTTCCATCTTTCATACCCGAACTGTAAATCTGTAAATTTATAGGGAACTGCTGGTGTGGCCTCTTGAGTGTCTTTACGTTCCTTTTCTCTTTCTTCTTGAATGGCATCATTGGTGACTATTTGGCAATAGTTGTTTTCATTAAATGCCTCTTGGCATGCTGTTTCCCTTTTGGTGCTTCAGACACAGAGATTATAATGAAACGTGCAGTTTTCCTTCCTAAAATTCTGTGTACACTTCTGAGTGGTGGTGTGCATCTCATGGCTTGTATAAATCAACTGGAAGATTACATAGTTACTTTCCTTATTGGTCCTTATACTTGTGCTTGCTAGTCCAAACTTCCTTTGTGGATGGAATCAATGCAGAGCTTTCTGTGTTTTGGAAGGTAAGAAAGCTCACTGCGTCACCAAGCCAAGTAAATAATTGCAATGAACTACCTTTAACCAAAAATAGGAACTCCAGCAGATATCTGGAATTGAAACTGTACTTTGGAACTATCTTGCTTCTGGCCTGGTTTAGTAATCTATAATCTGACTTCTCCAAGTCTTACTAGTATCCAATTTTAAAGAAATCTTACATTTTAAACTATTGAAGCATTAGAAGTTTTGAGACACAATTCTTTTACCTGCATCCATTAATGCTAAGCTTCCACAACATGCAGATGCCATAGAAGATGATCCTATAGAAAGGAAGAAAAATACCTGCTTTATAATACACTAATTTTTAAAAAATATGCAAAATTGTTATTTCTTTACAAACATACAATTATATAAAATTCAATATTTTTTCCTTTTTAAAGAGCAATGAAGGCAAGCTCTCCTAAACCATGAACTATACAGCTGCATGGTCCAATATGATAGCCATTAGCCATATGTGGCTACTGAATTTAAATTAATTGAAATAAATTCAGTTCCTCAATGGACAGCACACAGATTGAGAACTTCCATTATCAAAGAGAGTTCTACTGGATAGCAGTGCCCAAAATTCTGATTCTAAGAATCTCTCCCAGAAGAATCAGCATGCCTCTTTTGTTGCTTAATCAGAAGGCAGTTAAAGATATCGGGCTTTGGCTCTCTCACTAGGCCAAAAGCCATAGCCAAGTCACACACAGGAGAGAACAGACAGTCTCCAGTTTAAATTTTGAGCTTACTTTGTTTGTTTAAATACCTATGACCATCTTCTCTGTGACTGCTACATCTTTGAGAACTCTGTACCCTTTCTGCCTTTAATCACCATACCTGGCCTTGACCTGTGGACTGATTTTTTACTTCAGTTTGACCTTTTAACACAGCCGCTCTCTGTGGTGTCTACTTATATCTGTGAAAAATGACAGGTGTTCCCTGCCTAATGGATCACTCTATTTTGGCATTCCTGTCTCCTAGCAAGCCTTGCTCTATGGTTTGTGAAAAATAAAGAAACAAATACCCCAAAGTGGATCTATTATAACAGATAAAGAGAAATATTTGTTTTATATTGCTTTCAAAACCTCTAATTAGCTAAGAACAAAGATTCAGACAAGTATACAATTAACTAAACAGACTGTTCTCTCGTAATGGGTTTGGGTACAGTAGTCATAAGCAATGTAACAGTAATGAAAAGAATATAAAAGGGAGTCTAGTCTTTTTGACTAGGAAAAATATATTTCAATACCATACCATTTGATTCCAGCACTTCAGATGTGACTCTTATGGTGAAAGGAAAATCTTTGGGAATAACAGGATACAAAGCTTTCTCAGCAAGAGCACCTAAATTAGAAATAAATAATAAGCAAGAAATGTACTCTCTATAAGAATACCATAAAAAAAATACTATATAAGTTTATAGATTTATACTCACCGTGCCCAAGTTCTCTTCTATTTACACCAGTGACTTTGCCCGTTTCATTTGTTGCATAAGGAGGAAACTTAAAAAACAAAACAATACCAAAAAACCACACATATACAACTGACATGAAAAGATATCCAAGATATATACCAAAATAAAAGAAGTTACAAAACCATAAAATCCCATTACTGTTAAAAAAACCCCAGTATATTCATATATACAGAAGGTGACAAAAAATGTATACACATTTTAAGAGAGGAAAAAACTGTATTAAAATTGTAATACTCAATATATACCGACAACAAAAATGAATACAAGTCACGTTTGACTTCTGCAATTACAAGAGGTGCTCAAAGTGGTTACCATCAGCGTCCAGACACTTCTGATTACAATGAACTACTGGTGGAGCAATGTTGACTAAAGCGTCCACTTGTATTTTTTGGCACCCTTGGTATACACAGAAAATGCCTGGACATCTAAAATATATACCAAATTGCTAAAAGTAGGTATTTCTAGTGTGTATGCGAATTGGGGTGGGAAGTAGATGGTTATGGGGATTTACAACATAAAGTTTTATAATGTTTAAATTAATAAAAAGATTAATTTTTGTAATAATAAAAAAATATATATGTATGTTTTTAAATGCACATTGAGGAAACAGAGATCTTTTTCAATTTCAATAAGGGTTTTATAAACTTTAGCCAGAGGTTACAAACTTTTATTTGACCAATATATTGTCTCAAAGGGATATGAATTAGTTGTGATCATTTAAAAAATTGGGAAATTTCCTATAAAAATCTGGAATTCCAGTTTCTTTAACAAAATGTTTTTAAGAAGGAGTAATGGAACATAAATCTGATCAAGCTTCTGGATCTAGCAGTCAATTTTCAGGAGATAGGACGACAGAGGAACGTACTGAGCTGCACCATGTGTGTGCAATTAGCACCAACTAGGCTGTTGGGAACTCTGCAGTTCAAATGGCTCCAGGGATGCACCAGATAGATTATAAAGAAAACAATGTAATGGAGGAGAAATCTATGGATTAAAAGAAACTTAAAGAAATATCAAATTTTAGAAAAACAGGCAAGACTACACTATAGTATCTAGGGATGTATACTAGAAACACAAGAAAGTGATTATAAAACTTAGGAGAGTAATTGCTTTTAGGGGAAGAAGGGTGTTGAGACTGGGATGAAGAACATGGAGTGGCTTCTGGGATGACTGGCAACATCGTATTTTCTGATTTAGGTGGTGGTTACATGGGTGTCTGCCTTATAAAAACTCATTAAGGGCTGGCCAAGTGGCTTAGTTGGTTAAGAGCTTGCTCAAGAGTGCGAGTTCTAAGCAACAGCCGTTTGAGGCCCAGCCCAAGCTGAGCTGCCACTGAGCTGCCAACAGGCAGCAGGATGGCTCAGCTAAAAAAGAAAGAAAAAAACAACAACAAAACTCATTAAACCATCCTTTATTTTATATGGTTTTAAGTATCTGTATTTTATTTTACAATAAAGTTTTTTTAAAAATGAGATGCTACAAAAATAACAACCCTGCATCCTTCTGCCCCCTTCCCCACCTCTTTTCCCATTATCAGCCAGAGCTGCATTTTCACAGCTGCCCTTTTAGAAAAGATTGCCATGTACTTTTTTTAGCTCATGACAAAGGATGTGCTTCTGTAGCATCTAGGCATATCCAGAACAGGATATTTATAAGGTACTCAAGACCTGTGAGAATCATCAGATTTATGGATAGTCTCTAACATACATTACATGAAATGTTCTCTATTAACGATAGCAGGTTCACCAAAATTAACATGTTGGGATTGTGGGCAGCCAACAATAGTCAAAGATGAAGTGACTTGCTACTTTACACTAGCCTTCCAGGGTATATGCTGTAAATACTAAAATTAAAGTTTTATATATCATGTCTGGTCCTTTATGATTAGTTGTGAATAAAGTCAATCACAAGTTTAATTATATATAATAATTTCATATGAAGTACTTTCATATTAAATACCTCAATTCTTTTACTAATAATCAAATATGTAAAAATATGAACATATAAGTGAATTGAAAGGGAGAAGGTAATTTTCCAGTTGAGGTATTTGAAAAGCCCCACTTTTGTTTGACACATGTGAATAAGTACAACATTTTTTTTTTCCCATTTGCTTCACAAACATTTATTTGGCACCAGGTGTGCCAAACATCATTCTAGATGACACAAGAAAATGCAACAGAGACCATACAAGGTCCTTGATATTTTAGAATTTCCATTCTTGTGAGGATTACAGATTCGATGAGCCATAATAAAAATACAATATATAAAATAAATTTAATTGAGCATATAGCATCAGTGGAAAGTGCTGGAAAAATATAATTAAGGGCTGGCTGAGTGGCACGTTGGTTGAGTTGGCTTCGGATGCCAGCTATGAGCAGCAGGGCCCTGGTTCGGATCCCACGAGGGCCAGTGACGCTGCCCTCTACAGCTAAGATGGTGAACAACAGCTCAACCTGGAGCTGGGCTGCCATGAGTCGCCGGCGACGGCGTAGGCTGCAGCCCCTGCTGCAGTGGGCTGCCATGCGCTACCGTGTGTGGCCGGCAGCCAGCATGAGCTGCCACGAGCCGCTGTGAGTGGCCGTCCAGTGGCCAGTGACTGATCTGCCTCACCCGGGAAGAGCGCAGTGATAATACCAACATGGGCCAGTGAAGCAACATCCTCCACAAGTAGACTGAAGAACAAAAGGACAGCAACTTGTCTGTTCCCCTCTCCCAATTCCCCAATAAAATCTTTAGAAAAACAAAACAAACAAACACAAAAAACATAATAAAAAAGCAGGGAGAGGATTGAGTGATGGAAAGTATTATTTTAGGTCATGCCTAACCCTAGTGATGTCAAGTTCCTCTTTAGGTAAATTTGAAAGCTTTTTTTTTAATTAAAATTTTTGTGTTTGTTTAGGTATAGTTGGTATACAATATTATATTGGTTATATTAGTTTCAGGTGTACAATTCTTTCTTGACTAAAACGACATACATTGTCTACTATTCTTTAATGTATGTATACATTTCTATATGACTCAACAGGAAGTTGTTGATTGGAAAGCTACTACTTACGGTATCTCTCTAAATTTCTTCTGTATGCAATAAAATAACAGCCCCCAAATCCACCTTCACAGATATTTAAAACTAGCACAATAAAATGTTTGTGGTAGAACCTAGGTAGTGGGTATACAGCTATTCACTGTAAAGTTCTTTCAACTTTGCTTATCCTGGAAATTTTTCATAATAAAATATAGGGAAAAAAATTCACGTTACCTCATAGTGCAGCATGAAATTTTTATCTTTTATCCCACTACAACAAAAAGCATAATATTATAAACATTATACAGATACAAACAAATTTATTTCAACAATTAAAAAAGAGTTAAGGGGATTTTTGAAAACAATTGGGTATCAGAGTGTTGGTCTGAAAATGAGAATTAGAAGGATGAATATTAGAGATGGTATTTTTTCTGGGGCTTATAAATGAATTCTCACAGATGTAGGAAAACAATTTTCCTTTAAATATGAGCAATTAAATATCCAGATTTGAATATAAAACACTAGATACATACTTTTAAGCATTACTAACTATTGAAAGAATCCTAAATGTTATAAACACATTAGCTAAATCTCAGAGTTACAGTCTTTCTCCCAGTCAACATGTGCAATGAAGATCAGTAACTGACAGGACGTAGCTGAGAGCAATCAGAAGATATGATAGGCAAAGAGCTTTTCAGGGTTTGAAAACAGAGCTGTTGTAACTATATGTAGAATAGGTTAAAATAAGGATGAGAAAAAACAATTCCTGGAAGGAGGAAACCAGATTTATCTTTAACTGACAGACACATACAAGATCTTAGCACAAATAGTGTCCCCTTTGGATGGGATTACAAAAGGCAACTCTTTGCAGAGGATTTCGGCTAAATCTGCATAACCATAACTGCAGCCTTGGGAAAGGCAATCTAAAAATCAGACTTCTTCATAGGACTAAAGGAATCCTATGATTTTGGGGGCTAGAGAGCAGAATAGGGATCATCATCCCAGTACCTGCATTTTACATGATGAGCAGACCAAAGGCCAGCATGGCTGAGTGATATGTGCCTCCTCACTTACACAGGTTACAGACCTAAGACTAGAATATAAAGAGGTACCCTGGCCAAGCCCGGTGTGCTTATGAAGCTGTGTTGCCTCCTAGGAGAGAAAAGAGTCAACCTGAAGAAGGGGTAGGGTAGCCAAGATTTGGCCCAGATGGGAATTTAAAATACAAAGTATATGAGCTCCTCGCCCCCACAAAGAATTATGATTACAATGAACATTACAAATTGTTGCATTGTCAATTTTATTAGTTACATGAAAAACAACTGGTGATGCTATGTTAAAGATCCTGGGATTTATCCTCATCAGTTGGGCAGTAGGAAGAGAGGCAGAGCCCTGTGGTCTTCCAAGACTCTTAATGAGGGAAAGGGAAGCAACCCTGTTAGGTGCTGAGGAAAGAAAGAGCTATGTGGCTGTGAGTCCTAGAACACTGATGCAGTAATGCTGGTGGGGACTGTAATATAGATTCTTATATAAAATTGACCAACATGATTTTACTGCTAACTTTTTAGGAACAGAGGAGGAGAGTCAAGTATTTCTGAACAAATTCAAATGTGTCTTAGGATTAGACAAGGTTTTTTCATTTACTAACAGCTTTCAGATTATTTTCAGTAACTGGACTCCTGCTTATTTATTTGCTCTCTTCTTTATAATAGAAAAACCTATCCATTCAAGATTACCTAGGAAATCTGTCCTGAGGAATGGTTCTAGAGACAGAGTGTAAACTAAATGCACCCATAGTAAAGAATTCTTCATCAATATTTGTTCTAATCAATGAGTTAGAAGACAATATAGCACAAAAATTCCCTTGAAATTACTATTATGTAAACAGAAAAAAGTACACAGGTATAGGTTTTTAAAAGTAATAATGAATGATAATATACCACATGAGCTTCAATTATATATTGGAGCATCATAACCAAAAAAACATAACTTACTTTATAGCTGTTATAATTCGGTCCGACTTAATACTGGATTCTAATGAATCAAATGTAACAGTACAAAGCACCTAAAGAAGAAACAAAATTCTTCAGGCTTTAATTTACTAACAAAATGAAAACTAAAAATATTTAAAGAACCCAATTAGCTCTTAAAGAAGTGCGATAAGTATACTATATACAAAGCTTGCCATGATATTTAATATAGTAACCATTTAAAAATCCAAAGGTATAACATCACATAGACTACATATGTAAAGCACTGTACTAGGAATGCTAGAGGAAGAGCACAGGAAGAGGAAGGAATATTTACAAAACCGGACCATAAAGAAAGCCTCAATAAAGGTTAAGCCAATAAAACATCCTGTTTAAAAAAATCTGTATTCTTTAAAAGGACGTAACATAATCCAGAGACTCTACATATCATTCAAAATATCCAGGATACAACCTACCAAAAAAAACTCCAAAAACCCTGGAAACGGCCCACTCTCAAGGGAAAAAGACAATGACTACAGACTGACCCTGAGCTAATTCAGATGTTGGATTAATAGACAAGACCTTTCAACAGCTATTATACTCAAGGACATAAAAAAGAACCATGGAAATTTTAGAACTGAAAAATATATTATCTCACAATGAAAAGAGATGATAAGAGTTAGAGTTAGTGAACATTAAGACAGATTAATAGAAATTGCCCAGTCTAAAGAACAAGGGGGTGGGGGAGAACACAGTTTCCGGGAACTGTGGGACAATATCGATAGGACTAACACAGTATTTGCAAGGAAAGAAAAGAGAGAATAAGGTACAAAAAAAATATTTGCAGAAATTATGGCTGAAATTTCTCAAGTTAAATGAAAGACACAATTTTACAGTAGGAAGAGGGAAGCAGAGCCCTGTGGTCTTCAAGCTCAGCAGGATAAATATAAAGAAATCACACTTTTCATGGTTGTACTGCTGAAAACCAAAAACAAAATCTTAAAAGCACACATAAGAAAATACATAATTAATATACAGGGAACAATGATTTCAATGAGTCCTGACTTTTCATCAGACAAAAATGAAAAAAAAAAAATCCAGTGGAACATTTTTAAGTGCTAAAAGAAAAGAAAGCATCAACTCAGAATCTATATCCAGCAAAACAGTTTTTTATATAGAAAGGCAAAATAAAGACATTTCAGATAAATGAAAAATAAGAATTTGACGTCAGAAGACACACAGGGCAATACTAAAGGAATTTTTATCAGATTGAAGGGAAATAATACTAGATGAAAACTTAGATCTTCAGAAGGAAATAAAAAGCATCAGAAATGGTAAATATGTGTGTCAATAAGAAAAAAAAGAAACTATCCCTCTTTAAAATACATTATGATTGTTTGAATTAAAAGCTATAACATTGCCTTGTGGCATTTATAACATATATAAATGTAATAAGGTAACTACAGTATAAAAAATAGGAGGAGGAACAAATGGACCTAAATGTTTGTAAACTTTCCTCATTTTATGTGAAGTGGTACAGAATTAACTCTAAAAAAGACTGAAAAGTTAAAGATATATACCGTGTTCTCTATGGTAATCACTGAAAAATAATGCAGAAGTATAGCTAAAAAGCAAATAGACAAATTAAAACAGAAATCTAAAAATATGTTCAATTAATTCAAAAAGGCAGAAAGAACAGAAAAACAATAAACAAGGGACAAATAAAACTAAATAATAAAATGACAGCCCTAAATTCAATCCATCAATAACTAAATTGAATATTAACGGAATAACACTCTAGTTAAAAGGCAGAGATTGTCAGGGTGGCTAACAAAAGTATGCAGAGGATCTTAATGGAGTTATTTTAAAAACCATTAAAAGGCATAAAAGAAAACCTCAATCAAAGGTGAGCTAGACTATATTCATTGTAAAGACTGTGATTTAAATTGTAAAAATATCATTTCTCAAAATAATCCATATGAAATATGAAATACCAATCTAAGTCCTAGAAATATTTTTTTTATTTTTCAGAACTTGACATAATATTAAAATTCAAAAGAAGCACAAATGTACCCAAATAGCTAAGACAATATTGTGGGGAGAAAGGAGAATAAAAAAGGATTTGGTTTTCAGATATTAAGACATATCCCAAAACCATAATAATGAGAACAGTTTGACAATGGCCCAGGAAACTCACAGAAGAATGGAAGAGAATATATTTCAAAAATGTAGTTATAAACTTTGAATATAAGGTGACATTGCAAATAAATTTGATTTGATTTCCCATTGATTTACAATGTTACCTTATATTCAAAGTTTATAACTTTGAATGTAAAATTGGCTCACTCTGTAGGTTTCCACCTCACACCATGTATAGGAATAAACTCCAAGATAGATTAATGGTCTAAATTTGATAGCTAAAGCTAGAACGCTAATAGAAAGAAAAAATAGGTGCTTATTTTGTGACTTTGGGCATAAGGATTTCTTAAATAAGACTTGAGAAACAAACCACAAAAGTAAACAAGGGAAGGATTAACTACATTGAAACTAAAGATTTCAGGTTTCCTATAGACATATAGGTTACCACAAGCAAAGTTAAAAGGTAAGGTATATGAGAAAGAGGCAGGTGATACATACAAATTCTGGTTACTGAAAAGGATTAATATTTAAACGCATAACAATTCACTGAAAAATAGCAGAAAATAGATAGTAAACCATATTTAAAAAAGAAAGAAATTGGTCAAAGGATATGAACACATATTTCACAAAAGAGCAAACCTGAACTAGTGCCACAACTTTGCTCAGCTCCAGGGACACTATGTGAAAACAGGGCCCTAGAGGTGTGCAGCCCCCACGTTGACTGGTTATTATACAAAGATGCTCAGCCTCACTCATAATGAGGGCAATACAAATGAAAACAAAGGCATGCCACTTTGTACCCATGAGATTAGCAAAATTAGTGATTAACATAAGAAAGAGGTTCAAAGCATAATACCATACACAAAAACAACAGATACATATACATTAAATACAAGAGAATAGGTCCCTACGTAAGTGAAAAGAAAAGTACTGAAGTTCAGGCTAAATGGAGAAAACAAATAAGGGTCTTGAGTAGGCCAATGACGATATGTCATAAACCGAGGAGTAAGAGCGACTCAATTTTGCGTACCTCAAAGAAGCTTTTAAAAATGTTTTTAAAACATCACATATTACTCTGGATAATGCATTCCATATAATTAAAACCTGTAACATGTACATAATGTATTTCTAATAGCTCCAATTAAGCAATCCTGAACCAGCAAATGTAGCTTCTTACATATATTACCTGTGTTTGTCCCCTTTGAAATAATGCTGATCCATGAAGAATTTTAAACATATCTACCTCACAATTTATATTCCTAAGTGAAATCAAATCTCGACCATCGCACCTATAGCAATAAAGGAAATAAGTGTGTAAAGCAGTGTTGGAAATCAGAAAAACCACATATTATCTCTTTATCCCTACCAGGAAGTTCTCAACCCCATCTGCATATCATAATCCCCTGTAAACTTTAAGAACTTTACCTGGGCCCACCCCCAGAATCTTGGGAGTTGTAACCCATACACCTGTACTGCTAAAAAGCTCTGCAAGTAATTCTTATGTGCAGTTAGGACTGTGGAGCACTGCTCTATACATGAGGCTCACAGACATCCACACACTCTTCAACAGGTACCCGTTTATAAAATAAATATTATAGCTCTTTCCTATTCACTTAAAAAAACCAATTCCTTGTTTTGAGAAAGTTAGTGACTTTCAAGACAACTCGCAGAGACAGTGCATGCTTTAATTCCATAAAAAAAAATATGTTTACCTTTTGTATTCATTCAAAATAATACTTCTAAAAACCTCCTTTGCAACAACATTGAAGGATTCTATTATTTCATATGAATCAGCCTCTGGAAATTTTTCTAAAGAAGAGAAAGCAAAACAAACATTTTCTTTTTTAGGAAGAGAGGATTTCTCTTAAGTTCACAGTATCAAATCAGTTAACTATGGAAGTAAACCAAGGGAGTTCACTCTGAACATTTAGTCCTCAGGCAAACAAAGCAGTTAAATCAAATGTTCTCAAGTAGGAGAGACACAAGTATTATACCTTAAATGTACTGTTATTGGGAACTTAGTTTGCATTCTACCAGAATAGTGCTTTGAAATCACTCTCTATTGCATTGCTACCTGATAAACCCAACCAACTATATTACGAAAAGTCTGACGCTTTTAAGAATAGTCACCTTCACTGTTTTGCCTGAGGAACTTTTAACTTAGTCTGCAAATAGAGGAATAAATTTTTTTAATATACTGCAAATCCCTACCGACAGGTTTTTTAAGTTAACATTTACCAAGGTCTTTCATGACCCCGGTACTTTATGTGTGGTTTTTAAAAATATCTTTAATCTTTGTATAAGTTATGTGGTCAATTCTTTTATTATCCCCGTTCAACAGTAGAAAAACAGGCCTAAAGAGATAGAGTACATTGCCTGAGATCACACAGGTAGTAAGTGACACAGCTGTGATCTGAACACAGGTCTGTCTGCCTAGGCTTACGCTTTTAAATGTTAAGCTACTTTACCTTATCAGTTGATTTAAGCCAAGTTTCGAGCACTGTTCTCTTAAGCATTTGATTTATTAAATATAATTTTAAAGTAACTAGAACATAAGAAATGGCCACAGAAAGAGAGATATATTAAGTACTGTATCTTTGTCAGGCAATGATCATTTTAAATATTACACTTTAATATGAACTTATATTCTTTAACTGGGTTGCGCTTGGAGAGGAAAATAATAAAAAAACATTTAAATTATTATCCTATGAACCCAGAGAGTAAAGAAGATATTCTACTATAGTATAAACACAACATTACTTTTCTTTTTAAATAAGGTCACAGGTGTTATACAACTTCTCATTGTTAATAGGATGAAATATAGAGAGAAAACCAAACTTTTTCAATGGCAATTACAAGTAATGGCCTTAATATCAATGCTAACAGCAGAGTTTTTACCTTAAAATATTTAGGTGAGAGGTTATTTGTCTGTTAGCAGAAAATTAACAAGAACTATATGTCAAGTTTGGTACATGCGATTGATACTATACAATAAAATTCTTTAAAAAAATTTTTTTTAATTTCTTATTTATTTTTATTATTTTTTATTGTGAAATACATTTTAGAATTAGTTTCAGCTGTACAACACAGTGCAATAGTTATACTTTTTACCTCTCGAGGTGACAACCCCTCTCCCCCAATCCGCCGTCCCACTTCCCCCCCAATATCATATATATCTATTACAATTCCCTTGACATACAATATTATACATCAGAATTATATTCCTCGAATATTATAGTTACGTATTTATGCTGTCTAATCCCTTCCCCTTCTCCCTAACCCCCTCCCAACTAGCAGCCATCAATTGTTCCTCTATATCTCTGAGACCCCTTCTGTTTACTTTGCTTTTTTTTAAAGATTTTTTTTAGAGATTATTTTTTATTGGGGAATTGGGGGAAAGGGAACAGACAAGTTGCTGTCCTTTTGTTCTTCAGTCTAGTTGTGGAGGATGTTGCTTCACTGGCCCAAATTGGCACCATCATTGCGCTCTTCCCAGGCGAGGCACATCAGTCGCTGGCTTCTGGATGGCTGCTCACTGCGGCTGCTGGCTACACACGGTAGCCCATGGCAACCCACTGTCACAGGGGACTGCAGCCTACGCCGTTGCCGGTGACTCATGGCAACCCAGCTCCAGGTTGAGCTGTTGTTCAGCATCTTAGCTGTAGAGGGCAGTGTCACTGGCCCTCATATGTGGGATCCGAACTGGGGCCCTCTGGCGTCACAAGCCAGCTCTTAACCAACGCGCCACTTGGCCGGCCCTACAATAAAATTTTTAATAATTCCTAGAGAGTTAAAGTCTCTAAAATTTAAATTTCACAATTAATATCATTCACAATGGTATTAATAACAGCATTAATTAACATTTATTGAACATTTACTATATGCCAACCATAGATGTAAATTATTTACTCATTTAATCCCCATACACCAGATATCATTATTGCAATTTCATAGATTAAGAACTCAAGAAATTGGGCGGCCGGATGGCTCAGTTGGTTAGAACGCGTGCTCTTAACAACAAGGTTGCTGGTTCGACTCCTGCATGTGATGGTGGGCTGTGTCCCCCTACCCCCCGCAACTAGATTGAAGGACAGCAACTTGACTGGGAGCTGATGTGTCCTGGAAAAACAACATTGTTCCCCAATAAAGTAAAAAAAATAATAATAATAATAAAAAAAAATTTTGGGAAAAAAAAAAAAGAACTAAAGAAATGTAAAGAACATCTTTCAGGTTTTCAAATGACAGGATACACGGATACGCACATCTTGGAGTAAAAAAGTCTGAAAAGATCAGGACTATTTCACATTCAACACTTACTGGCAACCACTCTGTGTCAGGTGCAGTGCTGACCACATTCATAGAAGTTAATTTAATAGAATGACATATCATTATCACAAGTTTACTGAGGATAAAACTAAGGAGCAATGAGAATAACTGATTTTTTTGAGGTCTCACATTCAAAAATTTAAGTCTGTTATTTCCTTTAAATATTTTTTAAATAAAAAAAAAATCACCTTTTAGTTGTTCCTCTGTATCTAATCGTATCTTGTTAACAGCTTCATCTCTGGAAACCTAAAGGAAAGCTGAAGTTCAGTTCTTATATATACATGGCAAGTTTAACGTTCCTATTTTCAAATTACTTTACAATGAACACATTATAATACTACTCAGAGTTCTCTAATGGTAGTATTCTTTAAAAGATTAGAACTGGCTATTGATTTACAAGAAATAAACCTATTTATGAATTGATTCAAATATATTTACACATGTCCCTAAAACTTGTACTAATCAACAAAAGTAGAATGGAGAAACAAACAGCTAGGATTTTGTATAGCTTTTTGTTAGAGATTTTTCATAAACATATGACTAACATTCATAAACAATTTATCTGAGTTATCCAAAAAAGAATTCCCAGAATTCTTTACATAATTACATAAGACAAAATCCAGGTATACTTACTTTATCATGTTCATAGTCAGTAAAAACTGCATAGAGTCTTTCCATGGCGAGTCTATTTTAAGACAAGATAAACATCAGCATAATATTTGGAACCATGAGGCAGTGTATATTACAAATAAAACTGAAATATTTAACAATAAACTAAAATGTTTAATAAGCATTTCACAAAGAATTAAAAAATGTATTTATTGCTCTTTAACATCTAACCTGTTTACTATTTGGATACAAACACAAATTTTTTTCTCCTCACCTTTCAGGGGAATCACTCATACATGGTATTATGCCCTGACTTCTTAATTGTTCAATTTACTTCACCTTAGATTTTTCTGTCTTTTTTAATATCTTGCTTTTTTATGTTCTATCCATTCTGGCTGTTATTGCAGACAACTCTTGTTTACACAGCACTTTATATAACAGTTTATTTAACACTTTAATCTGACTGATGGCTGTGAGACTGATACTAAGGGAAATATTAACTTTTTAAATTTATTTTAAATAAAATGAAATAATTTCCTGGGGATTCATTCACATTTACTGAGTGCCTGCCTATGTGCAGGCATTGTTCTAAGCACTGGGCATATAGTGGTGGTTATACTTGATTTCTTTTCGAGAACCTCACCAGTTTCCCTAGATACTCAAATATGCTTTATTCTCTTTTTCCTTGACACAGAGCTAGGCAGATTATCTGAATCTTGACCAATAAACTCACTCCCCTTTTCATTTGAGATTCAAACTTAGGTCACTGAAGAGGTATTTGGATTTATCCTTTTTAATGCATTAGACTAGTATTTCTGGCAGTGACTCTTGAAACAGAAGGGTGCTATCTAAGAAGTAATACATGGACATGGGAAGTTTTTTTCTGAGAGGAAATTAAATCTGGTGACAATTTCATAGTTTCTTTTATATAGATGTTCTTACTTATGAGTGTGCTTCACAATCTCTGGCGAAGGGATGAATAACTTCTGAGGTGTCCTCTTGGTAACACCAATTTCTCTCACCAACTGTTGGATGCCCTGAATTATTTGTTGTGTATGTTTCACTCCCACTTTGATAGCATGGCAAAAGTCCTGCTGTAAAACGTTCTCTGCAGAGGCTTCCAACATGACTAAAGAAAAAAAAAAAAAGATTGCCCTTGAACATTTCACCAATATAGCATTTTCAAATAACATGACATGACATAAATTCTATGGATCAATTTTGTTTATTAATGGTATATCCACCTTTTTCTTTCCTCAGAATCAAAATACTTCCAAAATGTAAATGGCAGTAAATGAATAAAGAAACTTTGATATTTGAAATTAGGTCTTCTTAAATTTAATGAGGGATTTCTCATAAAGAAACAAAAGAAACTATGCATATTTTAAAAATATTTTTATTAGATATAATTCAAATACCATAAAATTCCACCTTTTAAAGTATACAATTGCATTGATTCTAAATATGAATTTTAAATAAATTTTTAAAATATCAGCATAGTAGATGTCCAATAAATGTTTCCTGTTTAGCAATTATTTAATGTTACCTTCCACTTAATTCTCTCATTGTCACGTTGTCTAATTCTTGCACAGATGGGAAAATCTTTGCAGTGATATTGTTTAGAGAAAGCCATTTAAAAGACACCAGCTACTACCATAAAAAGGTTGCTCTTATGGTTTTGTAATAGTAAAACTCCTATGTAAAACAGGGTGGTAGCTCAAAGTGAGCTTTTAGCATGGTATCTAAAATATGTTATTCAGCTTGGGTTTTGGTTTCTGCAAGGCTGAATAGAGTGCTGTCAACTTGTGTGTCATTCCTGGCATTTCTCAACTTCTCCAAAGTCAAAGATCATGTAATGCATAGTTAGCATCATATCTAATAGTTTAACCACATCATGTCATTAAGACTTATTATCTAAAAAGTCACTTCTAAGACTTCTAGGTATAAACTAGAATGAAAAAAAAAATCTCCTATGTGCTTTATAAGTTGGAATTCCATCAATCAATTGAAACAATTCCATCAGACCTGTGAAAAGACAATATAACCGAAGATCTAACATTGGTGTCATTGGAGTCCTGGAAACAGAAAGATGACAGGACTGAAAAGTACTGGGGGGAAAAACAGCTGAAAGCTCCCCAAATTTGGCAAAGACATAAACCTACAGATTCAAGAATTTGAGTAAACACTGCAAAGGGTAACTGAAAGCAAGAAACATCAAAATTAATCTTCTGAAAACCAAAGACAAAGAAAAAAAGTCTTGAAACCAGCCATAGAAAACCGACACTTGACCCACATGGGAAAAACAATTAAAAAAACATTAGTTATCACTAGAAACCAGGAAGGCCAGATGGAAGTGATGTAATATTTTTCAGGTGCTGAAAGAACTGTCAATCTAGAATCCTATATCCAGTGAAAATATTTAGGAATGAAGGGTAAATCAAGACTCTTAGATGAAGGAAGGAGATCTAACAAAATCTGTCACTGGCAGATCTTCCCTAAAATAATAGTAAAGGAAGTTCTCTAAACAGAAAGGAAATAATGAAGGAAGAAGCCATGTTAAGAAAGCCATGTTAAGAAAACAAGGCAAAAATGTGGGTAGGTACAATACACTCTTCTTCTCTTGAGTTTTCTAAATTGTTTGATGGCTGAAGCAAAAGCAAAAATGGTATCACTGCTGTTATGGTTCTAAATATGTAACTGTCCTAAAACAATTATATTATAAATAGGGGAAGATAAAGGAAGGTAAGGTTTCAATATTTCACTTGAGGAATGAAGACGCTTCCTCTGATAACCAGGACACCGAGATGGTTATATTCTTTTACTCATCTGTATTCCCCTAACATCCTCTCTCACTTTCACAGAATTGGAGATATAAACATCAATGCAATTCGAGTCGGCCAAGTGGTGCGAAGGTTAAGAACTGGCTTGGGACGCCAGAGGGCCCCGGTTCGGATTCCACATATGAGGGCCAGTGACACTGCCCTCCACAGCTAAGATGCTGAACAGCTCAACCTGGAGCTGGGCTTCCATGAGTCGCCGGCGACGGCGTAGGCTGCAGCCCCTGTGGCAATGGGTTGCCAT